GTGTTTCAGAGTAGAACTGTGCTCCATAGGGTGTTCAATGGCTGTGCTCTTTCGGAAGGAGCCCTGGTGGCACAGTGGTTAAGTGCTCGGTGAACTGAAAGGTCCATTGTTCAAACTCACCAGCCGCTCTGTGGGAGAAAGATGTGGCAGTTGGCTTTTGTAAAGCTTATCAGCCAACCCACCCATTGTCCATAGGGTTTCCAAGGAGTGTCTGGTGGATTCGAACTGCCAACCTTTTGGTTAGCAGCCTGAGCTCTTAACCACTGTGCCACCAGAGCTCCTCTGTAAAGATTACTGCCTTGGAAATCCTATGGGCAGTTCTACTCTGTCATACAAGCTCACTATTAGTTGGAATTGACTGGACGGCAAAGGTGCTCTTTCAGAAGCAGATCGTCATGCCATGCCTTTCTTCTGAGGCACTTCCGGGTGGACTCAACCACCAACCTTTCAGTTAGTAGCAGAGTGCTTAACCGTTTGCACCACCCAGGGACTCCTCCACTCCTATTAGGCTACTGGAATTTTTGCTCTGATTACTCCCAAATCCATGTTTCTAGCCTGGATATTTCTCCAAAGGCTGATCTCATTCCCAACTTGTCTCAATAAGTCCCCAAATTCCTCCTGCCTCTGTTACTTATCCTTCTTCGTGGAACAGGGTTCTCCCACCTGCAACCCACAGCTCTTCTGCACCTCCAACTTCTATATCTAGATTGGAAAACTGTGGGTGGTAGAAAAGGCACACAGTAGTCTTGGGGGTTTTCTAGTTAATGGTGATAGAAAATGAGGATCTAAAATCACATAACTGAGTAACTGATTTATACAATAGTACATTTCATATCTTGCCAATAGCGTGTACAAAGTAAGACACTGTCCTCCCACACACTTTTCACAATCGTTTAATGTCAAGGTACTGATGCACTCCTGAAAGGTGATGAGAATAACACATCTGATAGTTAACATTAACCTGCTTCATCTCATAATTTAATCATAGGATCTACCAATATCATTACAAATTGTTTCAATTTGCTAAGTGGCATTTTTTTTTGTGGTGGTGGGGGTTGTAATGATTAACATGGTTAGTGTACAAAACAAGCGGAACTGATGGAAGTGCTAAGAGAGAGCCTCATTCGCATCAGAAAAATCCTGTCTCCAAAACCAAAGAAAGTGTTTTAAACATTACATATTTCATATTGGCATTACAAATGTTTTTAAAAATTTATTAACGTTTTTTGGCTTATTAAAATTTCTTTGTATTTGTTTTTATTTTCCCACAATTCTAGACAAACCCAACTCTGTCATAAAATCCCTAAAGACACTCCTAGGAAAGTGTGAATTCTTAGGAAACTGACTGTGTCAATGTAATTTATTTTCTATTGAACCTAGACTAGAGACAAACCAACCTAAGTCTTCCGTGACTCTAATTTGAACACTGCATGCATTAAACTGTCAAGCCTCAATTTTTCCAATTCAAGCATTATTTTTTCCTACTTACTATCAGCTTTTTTTTTAACCTCCCCCTCTCCTACCCTACTTTTTTCAAGGCACTTGGACCAGAAGTAATAGTGCTATGACTCTTTTCGTTAATGGAGATCACAAATGTGGCCCAGAGTCAGGTAAATGAGCAAACACAAAATTGTCATCATCATAAGGCCCTCACTGAGGGCACTGTTGAAATAACCTTCAAAGTTTTCTTATCAGGTAACGTGAAGGAAGCAAAATAAAGGAAACTGAATGGCAAAGTCAATCTGGTAAATCATATTTACCCGCTGACAAGCTTTCCCTTTCAAAGAAATTTGTTTTAAATGACTAAACCCAAAGCAGAATTTCAGTACTCAACTATTGAGATCTGATTCTGAATTGTTGTTTGAATTGGTGAATGATGTGATGTGAAGAAGAAAAAAAACACCTACCACTTCAAAATAACAGAATTCCCTAAAATCAACTCTGCCTACATAAACGATTTAGCTGTTCGCTTCTCCCTGAAAGAAAATGTCTGGAAGTATAGTCCTCTCGAATGCCATCATGAGGAGGGGTAGGAAGGCAGAACACTCCAGAAAAGGAAAAAGCTACAAAAAAGCAAGCTAGCTTAGGGCAGAAACATCTGCTGTAAGTACAGTCCTCCCTCAGTATTCCTGAAGAATGGGTTCCAGGACCGCCCCGCCCACAAGATAACAAAATCCTCGGATGCTCAAGTCCCTTATAAAAAATGGTGTAGTATTTGCATGTAACTTACAAACATCCTCCCCCTCCAGTACACTTTTAAATCATCTCTAGATTACCTATAATACCTAATACAATGTAAATGCTATGTAAATAGTTGCTAATGCTTACATTTAACGCTCAATGTTTGGAAGCACTTTATCACCAACCCGAGAGACCATTTTTTGCCATTGTAGGGGCAGCACTAACACTTCCATGAATTTCAGCTTCTTTCTGCTTTATTGTGCAAATGCTGGAATCCTTTCTGTGGACCACTTCGGTCCAGTTTAGCAAACAACATGCCACTTTTCAAAAAATCTAAGATTTTTATTTTCTTGTCGAGAGAGCACTTTACACTCCCTGTTAGCCTTGAGGGATTGCTTTGACCACTTAATTGCTTTTTAGGAGCCATTTTTTCATAGAAACAAAGGGTGCACACAACAGAAGTAGCGAATGAACAAGATGCCAGGCAAACAATGCTCAAACTATGAGTACGGGAGAGAGACTGAGGATTTGTGAAATGGCAGGAGGCGACAGCAGGGTATGCCTACACATCACTTCATTCGCGTGGATTCAGCGTAGTGCTAGGCGCGCGCGGCAAAGTCAAGTTTTGCTTTTGGAACTTTTCTAAATTTTTTTCCAAATATTTTCAATCCACAGTTGGTTGAATCCATGGATGCAGAATCCATGGATGCAGAACCCTCGGAAACTGATGGCCAACTGTATTGCTAATTCTGAACCCCTTGAGCTTTGCGGCAAAGGGTACGGACTAAGATACATTAGACCCTCAGACCCCCTACTGTCATTCCAGGCCTTGTGAAAAGTAGGGTAGGAGAGACAGGTTATTTAAAAAAAAAAAAAAAAAAAGCACATAGCAATTAGGAAAATATAATGCTTGAGTTGGAAAACCCGGGGCTTGACAGGAACCACCAACCCCCCCACTGCCCCACTTTGACAAACAACCTTGACCTGACTATGTCCTCTAAGAAAGAGGGCTAGAAAAACACAAGGAAACAATAGGGAGGAGGAAGAACGGAACAAACTAAGAAACGTGTTACTGTATCATAGCTTCACTCCCCATCACTCCCACTGGTTTTGGCAGTTCTTACCCTCAATCTCTGTCCCCACTCCCTTGCCTTCATCATCAGAGCAGGTTAATTCTGCAATCATTTAACTTTCTTGTGTATGAGATGGCTCTGCTGCAAAACTTAAATACCAAATACGTGCAAAAGTTTTATTTTCTATTAGTTTTCAATGCAAACAACCCTTAGCACACTTGAGTTCATGAATATACTTCAGTTACATTAGGGGTTAAACAGGTTTTTGTTAGTCTGAGAAACTATAACAACTGTTTGTGACACTGGAGCCATTACTTCTGTTCCAAGTTTCATCACTGACTCCAAAGGAGTAGTCTTGGCTTTGCCTGACTAGGCTTCATGACCTTCAACTCAGCCTTTTCTCTCCAGGCCTCAGTTTCCTCATTTTTACAATGAGAATTTGGAACAGTCAGTAACAAATGTACTACCACTTCCTTTTGAAATGTGTTATACTTATGATCTGTGTGATTATTTAACACCATGTTTCCACAGACTATAACTTTCTTTAGGTAAGGATCATGTTTTATACATTCCTTGAGTCGGAACGACTTGACGGCGACGGGTTTGGTTTGGTTTGGTTTTTTTGCACCTGGTAGGAGCTCAGTATATCTATAGATTGATTTAGGGGGTGGAAGAGAGGGAAACATGCAAAAGGCCTTCATGCTCGCATCATAAATGTGGATCAGGAATCATAACTAGAATCCTTAATTGATCCCCAATATTCTCCATAGCTGAACTCCTGCCCTTGTCCTCCACACACCATTATTTTTTCATCTTTTCTCAAACCTCCCAGCCTTTTGTGCACATATCTCAAATCTCCACCTACATTAACAGGCTGGGGTTGTGTCTAAAACATTTTCAAATCCCCCACAACCTTTAGCATTAGCACTTAAATGCTGACATGAGAGAATTCTCCAGAACACTCTACCTTCCAATAACACCAGTCAGGAGGAGAGTTGCACCTCTGAATAAATTTGTATAACCAAGTCCATCCTAGCCTCGGTCTCACCCCCCTACTGGGGAGCAAACCAAGGGATGTGCTACATGGAAGAATTTTCCAGATTTAAGCTTACACCTTTTGGTAGAGCCTAAACCGCTAAATTCATAAAGGAGGAAAGGAAAAAAAAAAAAGAAAAGAATCGTCTGGTTTCCTAGGGCTCCACTAAAAAAACGGGGATGGGTGGGTGGGTGAGGGAAAAAGGGCTGTGAGACAGGTTGAAAACTGGAAAAAGAAAGGTTCTAGCTTTAAAAGTCACCTTTCAAAAGATCATGGATTGATTCTGATCCAACCGAGATGTACCATACAGCACACCGGAAACGGAAGGGGTTAAACTTTTGAGAACGGATGGAAACAGGACAGCATCTAAAAATCAAGGGTGGGGGTTTGGGATTTGCCGGGTACAGACCGGGGCGGGGTGGGGGGAGAAAAGGGAGGAAGTAGGGAAGGGAGGAGTCGCTACAGCCAGAAGATGAATAGAGAAAAGGGCGAGGGTAAAATGCCGAAAGAAAAATCGGAGGGCAAGGGTGAAAAGAGGGAGGGGGAGCAGGCCAGGGCCAGTAACGGAGCCAGGGAAGGAGCGCTGGTCGAGAAACGGTGGGGGAGGGGGTGAATGGAAGCCGATGACGGGGATCGGGGGCCACCCGGAGTTCTCAGGCTTGAGGCAGGGGTGTGGGAAACCCACCCCTGCCCTCAGCGGCGGTTCGTACCTGTTGGTGTGGAAACGGTGCAGTGGGTCGGTGCGATGGCAGGAGGACAGCTGGCAACCGAAGTCGCTGATGTCCAGGCAGCCCGGCTCCTCGCTCAGGCAGGTGCCCACCCCGCGAGGAGGTCCCAGAAGCGGGAAGGGTTCCTCGGGGGTTAGAAACTTCTCGTACGAAGTGGTGGCCGACGCCTCGTCGGACATGGTTGGAGATGGCCTAGCTCAGGCTCTCTCTTTGGCCCCGGGCTGCTACCGCGCTCGTCCCTGCCCCCAATCTAACCTGTCCGCAGTCGCTGCCGCCGCACCGGGGTGGGCTCGCTGCAGCTCACTGGCCGGCTGAGCGCGGCGACCCGCCGCTGCACGGGGAGTGCGGGGCCACGCGAAGAGGCTGCTCAAGGCTACTGCGGCCCGCACGCCACCCACACAGCGCCTCAGTGGCCTCTGCAGCTGCCTCGATCGTCACCGCCGCCGCCTCCGCCGCCTCAGCCTCTGCCGCCGCCTGGCCCGCCCCGCCCACTGCGCTGGCCGCTCGCGACTGCTGCAGTCCGCCGGGCACCCGCCGGGAGGGGAAGGGCGGCGGGAAGCCGCACCCCGTGCCCCCTGCCGGAGCGGAGGAGGAACTGAACCCTCCGCCCGCCGCGGCCCAGAGCGACCCGCCCCGCCTTTCCACGCCCTACACGCCTCAAATCTGGGATTTGGGGCGCAGGAAGGGCTCGCCAATTCAAGCCAACCTCCTTCTCCGCTTTCCCATCCGCGCCTAATTACTAATCAGAAAGCCGAAGCCCTGAGAAAAGGGACTTGACCAAGGTCACACTGTGGGTGCGTGAGAAAGAATCCAGATGCCCTGGTTCCCAGCACACTTGATCACCCTGTGTCAGTTCAACAAGGTATTTATTGAACTCCTGCAGTGTGTGTGCCCAACACTGTGCAATGAGTTCTTACAGGGAAAATGGGCCAAGTGGGGAAAAGAACAGTCCCTGCTTCATCATCATCATCACCTAACCTCAAGAACCCTACGCTACAGCCACTTGGCTACTCAGAGCTGCCAGACACGTGGGGCTCTTTTGTGCTCTGTGTTTTCGCTGGTATTATGCGCTCTGCTTGGAATGCCCTGCCATTTCTTCCCTGCTAATCCTAAAAGGTCCAGCTCAAAGGTCACCTCCTCTATGAAGCCTTCCCTGACTCCCAAACAAGAGTTGAGCACTCCCGCCAATGCCCCCGTAGAAAATATAGCGCTTAACTTGTTCAATTTGTATCAATTTACTAGCTGCCACACAGTGTTCTTTCCTGCTATCTCTTCTCTTTTCTCTGTATTCTAGACAAGTTGTTCCCAGATCTTTTAAAGAAGGAAAACACAAAATAGCCAACCTTTTTTTTTTTTTTTTTTGCCAAATGAAGACAGTTTTTAAAAACTACCTACTACTATTTTATATAAGGAAGCATATTTTCATAGAAAAGAAGGATAGGGGCATACTCTCAATAAAAAATAATTCTTTACATTAAATATATTTAGCTCTGTGGAAAAATTCATTAAACTGAACCTTGAGGGAAGCATAGAACTAAAGTAGGTAGAAAGAAGGGTGGAAGGCATTCCAGGTGAAAGAACGCAGGAAAAAGGAAGGAAGACCAAAGGGGGCAGGGAAAGTAGGGAGTTGTCACACAAATAAGCCCCATTCAGTCTTAAACTTTGTGCCTTGTCCTTTGATTCAAATGCAACTTTTAATGAGGAAAACAAATCCTCAACTACTCCATTAAAATGTATATATTGTCTTACTTCAGTTACTCTGTTACCTAACTTTTGAGCATGGTTGTCTTCTTTCATTTAGATTGCAGGAAAGGAAGGTTGCATTGTGAATGCGGGATTTCAAAATCAACCATTTGTCAATATCTAATGGGGATGACCAATTTAAACATTAGTGAAAGTGAAGGTGCTGATGGTTTGACTTATGGTTCCTGTCTTAGTCATCTAGTGCTGCTATAACAGAAATACCACAAGTGGATGGTTTTAACAAAGAGAAGTTTATTTCCTTACAGTAAAGTAGGCTAAAAGTCCAAATTCAGGGTGTCAGCTCCAGGAGAAGGCTTTCTCTCTCTGTCGGCCTTCTCATCAATGTTCCCCCGGACTAGGAGCTTCTCTGCGCGGGGACCGTGGGTCCAAAAGACACGCTCTGCTCCTGGCACTGCCTTCTTGGTGGTATGAGGTCCCCCTTCTCTGCTTGCTTCCCTTTCCTTTTATCTCTTGAGAGATAAAAGGTGGTGCAGGCCACACCCTAGGGAAACTCCCTTTACATTGGATCAGGGATGTGACCTGAGTAAGGGTGGTGTTACAATCCCACCTTAATCCTCTTTAACATAAAATTACGATCACAAAATGGAGGACAACCACACAATACTTGGAATAAGGGCCCAGCCAAATTGCCCTCAAGTCAATTCAGACTCATAGTGACCCTATAAGACAGAGCAGAACTGCCCCATAGGGTTTCCAAGGAGCATCTGGTGGGTTCAAACCCCAGACCTTTCGGTTAGCAGCCGAGCGTTTAACCACTGCACCACCGGGGCTCCTTGTTGCACCACCAAGCCTCCTTAAACATGTGGTAATAATGCACTAATGCATCGTTACCAAGTTCATAACCATTAGAAGTTGATGAATGTGTGTTCATCCCCCCTTCTTGCTCCACTTTAATTTGCTTGGTTTGTCCCTTGGGTGCACCTAGCCTGAATGGATTTGCCCATTCCATCAAGATCTTTCCTAATTTCTATTTCTCTGAAAACAGGTGTACGGTAGTCCCATCTTTTCTGAAGGTCTGGGTCTAGGAGGAAATCCGGGGTGATCTGCCTTCTTCAGATGCATAATTTACCTTCCAGAGAGCTGGTAGGCTGCGGGAAGCCTGTGGGAAAACTGACTGGGACTGAGAATTGTCCACCAACCTTTATCATTTTGTTTACTATTGGATAGATACGTATTGGAATTGACTCGATGATCTATGATCTAACCTTTGTAATTTTTTTGCGTGATCGATTGATGGGGGAGAAGTATCTATATATACTCTCACCAACATCTATTTATCTATTTATCTGTATAAACTTTGCCTCCATCAATCACACTGAGTTTCCACCTATGGTTGTTTCAACCTCCAAGTTTCCAGTGGTGGTTGTTTCAATCTCCCTAAAACGTCAGGTTTTTCCGCTCTTTCTGCTGTATGACCATTTGCTGGATCATTTGACAAGACACAGCACTGCAAAGCAAATATTAAAAGAAGGATTATAATCAGAATTAGCAGTCCACTTCTCAGCTAGGAGCCAAGAGCACCCACATTACACAAAGAGAATAGATTCCATCCCCAATCTGTAGAGTCCACAGAACTAGCTATGGGGTCGTTTGCCAAATTTTCCAATTTTCTTGATTTACTTATTTACTTCCTGGGTCTTTTTAGTAATATTTTTTTGTTTTGTTTTAATTTTATTGTGCTTTAGGTGAAAGGTTTTTTTTACTAATATTAAAGATCTAAGAGAGGTGTGCAGCAGTGTAAGTACCACATTCTCCTCCTAAAACAGCCCACACTCCACTTCAAGAAGCCAATCTTATAGCTAAGGCAGCTCTGTTTGAACTACTACCTGTCCAATTTCATGAACTTCTCAGGCAGAAGTTCTACAGCCTTAGTGGCTGTATTGGAGTCGAGTCCCTGGGTGGTACAAACAGTTAACATGCTCAACTGCTAGCCAAGAGGTTAGCTGTTCATGTTTACCTTGAGGTGTCTCAGAAGAAAGGCCTGGCAATCTACTTCCAAAAAATCAGCCATTGAAAACCCTATGGAGCACATTTCTACTCTGACACGCACGCGGTTGCCATCAGGCAGAGTCAACTTGATGGCAATTGATTAGTTAGTTAGTGGTTGTATTAATTTCCTGAGACTGCCATGACAAATTACCACAAGCTTGGTGGCCGAAAACAACAGAAATTTATTCTCTCACAGTTCTGGGGGCCAGAAGACAAAATCTGTGGGGGCTGCACTCCCTCCAGGGGCTCTAGGGGAGAATTCATTCCTTGCCTTTTTTAGCTTCTGGTGGCAGCCTAGCATTCCTGAGCTTGTGGCCACATTGCTCAAATCTCTGCCTCCATCTTCATATCACCTTCTCTGTGTGTCTGTAAAATATCCCTCTGCCTCACTCTTACAGGGACACTTGCCATTGGGTTTAGGGCCCACCTGGATAATCCAGGATAAACTCTTTCTCTCAAAATCCTTAACTTAATCACTTTTTTTTGCCATATAAGAAAATATTCACTATTTTACCTTATAAGGTAATATTCACAGGTTCCAGGGATTAGGAAATGGACAGATCTTTTGGGAGTCATCATTCAGCCCATTATATTGACATTGTCTAAACTGCTTGCTAGTCTCTGAAGTAGAGCATGTCGTATTTGCTCTACTTTCTGGGCGTCTTGTAAAGCATGAAATGCAGAGGCCTGAGGAGAGAAGAAACAGTTCTTGAATCAGGACCTGCTGTTGTTGTTGTTTTATTTCTAGAATTAAATAATTTACTGATCTCCTTTCCTAGAGAACAAACCGACGGCCCAGAATGGACACTGGGTGATGTCAGAGACAATTCCAATAATAAAGCCAAATCACAAAACTTTAGAAAAAGTGCCTGTAAGGAAAATGATTAAGCCTATTTTCAAAGAGGAAAGTGAATGTTGTATCTGATTTACAAAAAAAAATGAATGAATATAATTTTTATAAAGGAAAAAATCTTGAGATATAACATAATGATCCAGAGATATAATATATATACTCTACCACAAATACACCAAGCATTCAGGAAAAATATATACAGAGAGACTATTAAGTAAAGCGATTCAGTAAATTTGGAGCAGGTTCTAAACATCTGTATTTTAATAAGACTCCATAGTTAAGTCTGATGTTCACCTGTCTTAGTCATCTAGTGTTGCTATAACAGAAATACCACAAGGGGATGGTTTTAACAAAGAGAAGTTTATTTCCTTACAATAAAGTAGGCTAAAAGTCCAAATTCAGGGTGTCAGCTCCAGGGGAAGGCTTTCTCTCTCTCTTGGCCTTCTCATCAGTGTTCCCCCGGACAAGGAGCTTCTCGGTGCAGGGACCCCTGTCCAAAGGACGTGCTCTGCTCCCGGCACTGCTTTCTTAATGGTATGAGGTCCCCAATTCTCTGCTCACTTCCCTTTTCTTTTATCTCTTGAGAGAAAAAAGGTGGTGCAGGCTACACCCCAGGGAAACTCCCTTTACATTGGATGTGACCTGGGTAAAGGTGGTGTTACAATTCCGCCCTAATCCTCTTTAACATAAAATTACAGTCACAAAATGGAAGCCAACCACACAATTCTGGGAATCATGGCCCAGACAAATTGATACACACATTTTTTGGGGGACATAATTCAAACCATGACATTCTACCCTTTGGCCCCCCAAAAATCACATCCTTGCAACATGGAAAACATATTCATTCCATCATAACATAGCAAAAGTCTTAACTCCAAGTC